ATCAACTTCTTCCCATCAACCCCCATCAACTTCTTCCCATCAACCCCCCATCAACTTCTTCCCATCAACCCATCAACTATTTACATCAACCCCCCATCAACTTCTTCCCATCAACCCCATCAACTTCTTCCCGTCAACCCCCATCAACTTCTTCCCATCAATTTCTTCCCATTAACCCCCATCAATTTCTTCCCATCAACCCCCACATCAATTTCTTCCCATCAACTTCTTCCATCAACCCCCATCAACTTCTTCCCATCAACCCCTCCCTACGTCCAGAAATCCTATAAAACCACATATTTCGATAACTCGGCATCTTGACTGATCCGAAAACTTCAAAAATCTCTTAACTCGGCCTCGTGATTGTCTGTGAACTAGAAACTACATCATATCCGCTTCCAGCTCCCAGGGGGAGGGGATTAGCTAATTCTTGATTGAGTTACGATCTTCAAAACTACATCAGCCTCCTGCCCTTTACACAACCCAGAGTAAGATCTTTACACACACACACACACACACACACACACACACACACTCTACCTAACCTAACCTTTCATTTCATTTCCAGAGAGAAAATTACGAAAATTCCATCATTTATTCAATTTATATAAAAAAAGGTAATAAAAAAAATGGTGTTGTTTAAACTGTACATTATTAAAAAAAAAAATAACATTATTGATTTAAAAGTTTGATAAGATTTACCGTATATACAATATTAACCAAAATGAAATATACAGAAATTAAGAACAAAAAATATATCCAAAAGTTTAATTATTGAAAAGTATAAAAGCAAAAACAAAATCCGTAAACTTAAAAACAATAAAGAAGATTTACTCAATAACCCCCACATTTGTCTTACCTCGTTATTGACAAAGACAAAGGGGAGAAAAATGGCGTCTGATTTGTTGTGAGACTCGACCGTATACCCAGACATGATATCCCATCCCTAAGTCAAGGGTTTAAGGGAATTAAAATAAAAACCCTTTGAGGATTCAGGTTTTGATGTCTTCTCCCTTTCCACTGACTGGGCTTCATGAGAGGGGGAAGGGGGTGATGTAAGAGTGGTGGGAAGGGGGGGGGAGTGTTGTGGAAGGGTAGAGGGTGTGTATGAGTAAGGGAAGTGAAGGGAGGTCAGGGGTGGAGGATAGGACGTGATGGGAGGTCAGAGGTGGAGGGGAGGAATATGTCCGAGTGTTTTGTCAGCTTCAAGATTTTTATGGTAAACCCAACCCAACCCAACCCAACCCAACCCAACCCAACCCATCCTAACCTATCCTAACCTAACCTTACCTATCCTTACTTCCCAGGTAGACTAGAGTTGTTTAATCTTCAGGTAAAATAAGCTAGTGTGATTTATCTTTACGTGATCCTTGAAAATGAACCAAGATATAAATGCTTGGGGGGGTGGGTATCCTTGGTCGACTGATAGCGTGCATTCTTAAAACTGTAATTTGCATCCGAGACGGGGCCACAAGTCTCTATATCCCCAAGTGAATTGATTCCTCAGTCGATATGTGAGTATTTCAGATGATGTAGATGTGGGTAGTCTCTCTCGCTTTCTCACTTTCTCTCTCAAAATGGAGCTCTGTATCTCAGTGGAGCTCTATCTCTCAATGGAGCTCTGTATCTCAGTGGAGCTCTATCTCTCAATGGAGCTCTGTATCTCAGTGGAGCTCTATCTCTCAATGGAGCTCTGTATCTCAGTGGAGCTCTATCTCTCAATGGAGCTCTGTATCTCAGTGGAGCTCTATCTCAATGGAGCTGTACTGTATGTATCTCTCAGTAGAGCTCTGTGTCTCTCAGTGGAGCTCTGTATATCTCTTAGTAAAGCTCTGTAACCAAGGATATCGGTCTCGCCTCAATGATTTTGTTTATTTTGTGCTGTTTTTACAACGACAACCAGTGTTTGGTGTCCCTGGCGGAGAGAGAGAGAGAGAGAGAGAGAGAGAGAAAAGGAAACACCCCCCTCCCCCTTCCCCCCTTCCACCGGTCCCCTTCTGGGTCTACACAATGTAAACACAATCTGCTGGAGCCTCATTTGCATATCATTAATGTATGCCATGATGGAGAATATATAACTTAGGGTGAATTCTCTAGACTCCCCGAAATAAATGAACAGTGGAGAGTTTAGGTTATGTTGGGTTAAGTTGGGTTATCGCATTATATACCTCAACATTTATATTATGTAATCTTTCTACATAATATTCAATGTTTTAATAACTTTATATATGTGTCTTTATGTAACTTGATTATGTACTTCGCCAGGTGTGTGTTTTTTTTTTCTTCAACAAAACACATATTAGGATTTTCTAGGTCATGTTATGTAGGTAATATTTACTCCTGGTGAAGGAAGAATATGGAAATAATGGTGTTTATAGCATTTGTTATTCTCCTTCCTCTTCCTTCTCTTCTGTTTCCTCATTTCTTCTTCTCCTCTTTCATCTTATTTTACTATTTCTTTATTTTGTTGTTTTTGTTTTATTACCGCTGTGTTGATAAT